TTGGAGTCGATCATACTCAGTGATCTATCACAGAAACAAAGAACAGAGTACCATATGTTCTCACTCATAAGTGGACCTCGAACAATTATAATACTATAAGAAAGGTATTGGCAGTAGTGGGAGTCAGGGGAGGGAGGTGGGATTGGCAGTTGAGGGAAACTGTTAGGGGAGGGAGGGCCATACCTCATCAACAAGGGTACCTGCATAATCAACATTTGTATACCTAACCCTGAATTGTACCCCACATCTTTATAATTTAAAAAAAGTCATTATCAAAAAAAAAAAGTTTATTCAAGAATACTGTTAGGTTGGAAAGTCCATGTGTTATTATAGATTAAGACCCTTAGGCCAGGTGAGGTGGCTCACACCTGTAATCCTAGCAATTTGGGAAGCCGAGGCAGGAGGATCACTTGAGCCCAGGGGTTGGAGACCATCTTAGGCAACATAGTGAGACTTTGTCTCTACAAACAAACAAAAGAAGTTAAAAAATTAGCCAGCTGTGGTGGCCCATGCCTGTAGTCTCAGCTATTGAGGAGGCTGAGACAGAAGGATCAGCTGAGCCCAGGAGTTCAAGGCTATGGCGAGCAATGATCGTGTCACTGCACTCCAATCTGGGTGACAGAGTGAGACCCTCAACTCAAAAAAAAAAACCAAAAACCTTTATTTTCTTTGGTCTCCATTTGTTCATCTGTGAAAAAATGGGTGTGTGATAGCAGGATTAATAGAAGGGTTAGATAAAATGTTCAGAATGCCCTTTCTGTATACTAAGCATGCATTTTGTTTTCTCCCACAAGGTTGTTATGAGTATCTTAGCACATCTCTTGAAGACAAAGCTAAGGCCCAAGAAGAGTGGGTGTGGGGGTGCTCCGAGGACCTTTAGAGAGCAGAGTGGCCTCCTTATGGAAGTTAGTACAGCCTGCATGGGGGATATGCATCAGTGAGGATCATCACAACATAGAAAAGTAGACCAGTTAGACCATAAAGGACTAATTCTCAACAGTGACCCTTAGGGGCCATGGAAGCAGGGCCAGGGCCTTCCCTGTCTCACTGTGGAAGAAGGGTCGATTCCCTTCCTGGGTGCATGGGCTTCAGGTTTGTTGGAAACTAAGTTCAAACAACTTAGAGAGTCAAAGTTGGAACTATGCCTCCTTGTCAAGGGGCTGCCTCTAAGGTGAACCGTCTCTGTTAGCCAGGTAGGGCTTTACTTCTCATTTTACTGAGTCTGCTCCTTTGGCATTCGAATTGTTTCTCTCTCCCTTTTTGGATGTCTTTCCTCTGTGTTTGTGGCCCTTGGTTTCTGTGGTCTTTCCTCCTCTGTCTGTTTTCTTCTTTTGTCAATTCTTTTTTGCAACCTCCCATTTTATGCTTCACTGTTCTTATTCCTAATCTTGTCTTTTCCTTCCTAATAGTAAAGTTAATTACATTCAAGCAATTATAAACCTTCTCATATTTTATGCAAATGTACTTTATATACAAAAATCTATAAAATTATATTTTTATGCAACTATGTTTTATGCAAAAAATTTAACATTTTTTGAACTTTCACTTAAAAATTAGTTTAATCTTGCATCAGTCTCTTAAAAATCTTCTGATCCTAAGTTGTTCTTTGTTTTATTAGAACCCTTAGTTATACTTCATTAATTTTCCAGCTTTTGTGTAAATTTCATTTAATTAAAATAAAGGTATGGTTTCCTATGTAATTAGATTATCAGACTGTAGTAGTTGAAACTACTACAGTGGTAATAATAGCCATTCAGAGCAATTTTCTTTTCTCTAGATCATTATTTTATTGAATTTTTCAGATGTCCCCAAGGCTATTCATAGGTCTATGGATACGAAAGTCAATGTACTCAAAGGTATAAAGACAGAAGTAGAAAGAGTGGGCTGTGTGTGTGTGTGTGTGTGTGTGTGTGTGTGCTTGGGTTGCAGGACAGGAGAGTTACATGATTTCTTAACAGGAATTGGATGGCAAAAGAAATATTTATGTTAACAATGATAAATATGATTTGTTTAATTTTTTTCTTTTCCATATACTTAGCAATTTCCCAATATATTTGAAACGTATTACAGTTTATTATAAGTAGAAATTCTTTCCTTGAGAGAGTGATTACCTGTTTCTCTGTTAGAATTACTCTCCTTAGTAACTGATTCTCAAGTCCTTTCATCGTAACAGTAAAATCAATGACTGACATTTTAGCGTTAATCTCAGGAGTAAAGGCAGGGTTCGGTAATTTGGTAGTAATGTAAAGTTTAAATGTATCCATGATATCACATTCCTTATCACCAACTTTCACCTACATAAATTCATATATAAAATTAAAAACAGTGAGAAAAGAACAGGGCAAGGAATTTGGGTTTAATTTAAGGACAGATTTTACCAAAAGTCAGTGCTGTGAAACTTGAATAAATTGGGAAGCAAAGTTGTAAAAGTTAAATCACAGATCTTAAATAATAATGCCTATCCAATTTAGAATGGTTTAAAATTGTAGTCCTGCCTGAAGATGTTTTTAGCCCTGATACCAAGAAAATTAAATGAAAAATGTATCCAAAATAAATGGTGAATAAAAGAAAACTCAGACACATCAAAGATTTGACTTTAAAATTTTAGTAAGTACTTATCACTCCCATCAATTGTCTGTAGTACAGGAACTGCTATTTTTCCCCCAGTTGAGAAAATTGTCTCTTACTATGGAAATTTGCTGTGTTTATAAGGAGCTTTATTTTTCTGAATTTGATAGTCATATCTGAAGCATATTTGACAATAGGAAAAGTTAATGTAATTTTAAAAGAAAAAAATGCCACCTTTTCCCCAGAAAGATAGCACTTATCTTAAATATTACTATTTGCAGTATATTGAAGAACAACTGCTTTTTGCTACCTAAAAATCAGATGGAAATCACAGAATTTTTAAAGAACTTAAACCTTAGCTCATCTTAATTCTGCATGGGATTAGAAACATCACTAAGCTCACTATCACATTCTCAGGCATGATGCCTTCTCACTGCAGAAAAAAATTTAGGATCTTTTGAAAAAACTTCAGCAGTTCAAAGTTGTGGGTGAGTCCATAGTACCCAAACAAGTCACCAAAATTTTGGCTTCCTTAATCTCCTTTGGCATATTAAATACAGCATATAAAATAAGCCAGACACAGACAAGTACTGTACGATCTCATTTAATGTGTGAAATCTAAAAAAAAAGCCAACTAAAAGAAGAGAATAGAACAGGGGTTATCAGGGGCCGGTGGGGTAGAAGAAATGGGGAGATGTTGGTGAAAGGCACACACTTTCAGTTATAAGATGAACAAGTTCTGGATCTCTAGTGGTGAAGGACATGTCAATTCATTGGATTGTGGTCATCATTATACAGTGCATATGTATAGCACATTGTATACTTTAAATATGTATAATCTTTGTCAGTTAAATATTTTTTAAAGCACAGTTCACTACTGTGGATGAGTCCATAATTTCCACACAAATCAACAAAACTTTGTTATTAACTTCTTTATCTGACAAAGAGAAATTCTACTTTCTAATCTCATAGGAGAATTACACTAACCCTTCAGAACATTGCTTGGGTTTTATTCATTTTCCCCCCATAAACTCATACAGGCTTAAGTATATTGGATGCTCCATAAACCTTTGCTGAATGAATTTTCAAAATATGGCATATAAAAGAATTCACATCATGAAGAAAATTTTTATGCCTAAATCTGTCTTTATTTAATGAGAAAATGTTCATTCTTCACTTATTTGCTGATATTCAAGAAATTAAGTTGTCCAAAGTGAAAAAAATGCAATCAGAAATGCTATCACTCATTCATTAAGAAATAAAACCAAAGAAGCCTAAAGGTAGAGAATGTCACCAATTAAAAAAGAAACACTTATATATAATAAAAATAATACATGTTATCACCAACAATTGGGAACAATGTTCTATAGCTTCCAAAAAAGTCAATGAATTTAGCTAATAAAGAGATAAATGAACAAATTAATGCCTATAGACTTTAATAAAATGCCATCTTCTCCAGTAAAGAAATCTAGGTTTTTTGGTAAAAATGTATACCAGTATGGTTTGCAAAACCAATTTAAGCATAATATATATAATCTAATAACGTTACACTAACATTATTATTAAGACCAGACAATGTTAATTTCAACCAGGCGCTGTGGCTCACACCTGTAATCCCAGCACTTGGGAGGTGGAGGCGAGAGCTCAGGGGTTCGAGACCAGTCTAGACAACTTGGCAAGACCTAGTCTCTACAATACATCAAAAAATTAGCTGGACATGGTGGTGCATGTCTGTAGTTCCAGCTACTTGGAAGGTTGAGGTGGAAGGATCGCCTGAGTCCAGCAAGGTGGAGGCTCTGGTGGCCATGAGCGTGCCACTGCACTCCAGCCTAGGCGACAGAGTGAGACTCTAACTAAAAAAAAAAAAAAAAAAAAAAGTTAGTTTCAGTTAAATGACTACTCTTTTCAAGCTATTGCTTCTGCCACCCTGCATTTTCATATACTATAAAAAACAAGAGAAAACAGTAAATGTGTTCGGAATTTTTTTTCCAGTGTACCCAATACTATCACCTGAAGGAAAATGCCTTTGCTGCTATGCACAAAAAGATAAGTAGATGTCACCATTGTTCTTTTTCTTTCTTTCTGTCTCCCTTCCCTTTTTTTATACAAAGCTTACCTTGAAACTGGTGCCAGATTTAATGAAATTCTTTTCTAATACATTATCCAAGGCTGGATCCAGCTCTTCACGAATATCCTCAATGAGAAGGGGTCGGCCCAAGGAAAGGCTGTCCTCCAAGTGTGTGCGGAAATATTTATGGTTCAGAGATGTCACCTAATCAGAAAGAGCTCATTAGTCTATAAATGTTACAAAGGATATGTCCATTCCTAAGTGAAACCAAGAGATCTGTTGGACAGATGACTAAGAATTTTAAGGGCAATATAGGAAGCTTTACTTATAAAAGTAACAAACAAAAATTAATTTTTAAAACGTGTTGAGTCATGACTTTGCTGAAGCCCCGGATACATAATGGGGTCCCTCTGATCAAAAGAAAAAATCAGTCAAGTGGCATTGCATAGATGAAATGTCAGACCTCTGCTCCTAACAGATGGAAGAGAAATGGTCAAAGATTAGTCCTTTTAAATTTACATAGCTATAATTATTCAGAGAAAGAAAGGTAATTTGCATGCATGGGCATTCATTTATCTTTTCAGGATTCCTATGAGATGAATAAGTGATTTTAAAGAAATAAGCATAAGAATATCAGAAATGAGCCGGACTCAGTGGCTCAGCCTGTAATCCCGCACTTTGGGAGGCTGAGGTGAGAGGATTGCCTGAGCCCGTGGGTTCGAGACCCGCCTGGGCAGCGAGACCTCATCTCCACAATAAATCAAAAAATCAGCTGGGCATGGTAGCGCATGTCTATAATTCCAGCTACTTGGAAGGCTGAGGCGGAAGGATCGCGGAGCCCAGCAGGTCGAGGCTCCTGGCCACTGCACTCCAGTCTGGATGATAGAGTGAGACTCCAACTCAAAAAAAAAAAAAGAATATCAGAAATGACATGAGTTAAACCAAAGGTCCATCCATGTAGTCTGTCACCTAGTAGCACAGCAAAGAAGATGATACTTTCCATAAAGTCAACTTAAAAAGACTATAAATTCACTTTACATATATTTACATTTTTTAAAAAACTAGAATTTTGAATTCCTGGTGGAGTCCCTCATGTTTAAGTTTATTATTGGCTAAAGTGGACACCCTGTACTAGTTGATCTTCGCATGAATCAACTGGATTTGAACTTTTATTTATCTTATGGTCCCTCCTCCTGCCTAACTATGAAGATTCCCAAAGACTCAGTTCTCAACTTTCTACCTCCTTGCATATCATCCTCTGAATTCAACTAATGACTTTATGCTACTGTGGGTGTGGACCATAAGACATAAGGAAGATTCACTAGGACATTAGGTGATTAGAAGAGTGGAATTTATATATATA